AATATTGTCAGACAACTTTAGTGCAAAACTACTTTGTAGATTGATGGCTTTACTAAACAGTATTATTGGCTGCTTGTTTGCCGTGTGTAAACCAACTAGAAAGGATAGTGGCCTGAGATATCCCTTTATGAGTGGAAAAAGAGAAAAGAAAAAAAATACTATTTTTTCCTTTCACTGGGGCTAAAAGGGAAAGTCACAGAATTCCTGTCAATTTCACTCAGACAAACCAAAGACAGATCAGCCTTGGAGGATTCCTTTCTACTTATTTAAAATCTGAAAAACATTGTTTCACTATTCTATCTCTGAAGTTTAAAAAGGAAAAAAGCCCAGTTTTTCACCATGTTACTGCTGGACCTGTAAAAGAGACAGAGAGAGAGAGGGAGGGAGGGAGGGAGGGAGGGGGGGGGAAGGAGGGGGGGGGAAAGAGAGAGAGAGAAAGAGAGCTGATTGCTGGAGTAGATGTGATACCAACGAGAGGAGGGAGGGGTTTGTTTCCAAGGAATTAAGATGCAGCACCGAAGTCAGGGAGAATGGCTTGAGTCAGAGCTATTTGTGATGCACAGTCAGAAAATACAGGCAAGGTGTTGTTAGTTGCTGGCTGGAGCTGGTTTCTGAATGACATCATCCAATGTTGTCCTCTCAGGAGATGCTGAAGTGAACTGGAAATGTGGCTCTACCCTGAGTCGGCTGTACCCATCTAACCAAGTATTTTGCTGGTAGCAGCTCCTAGGGATTTCAGGGGATATTGGGTCTAAGAAGCCAGGAGACTGTGAGTTCTAGTCCCACTTTAGGCATGAAAGCCAGCTGGATGACTTTGAGTCAATCACTTTGTCTCTTAGCCCAGCTCACCTTACAAGGTTGTTGTTGTGGGGAAAATTTCTCAACTGTGGCAACTTGAAGATGTATGGAATTCAGCTCCCTGAATTCCCCAATTAAGTTGTCAAAGTTGAGAAATGCTGATCTAGACAGTTCAACTACCAATCTTAATGGCTGGTCATTTCTTCTGCCTAACTAGGTCTGGAGAATGAGACTATATTAGAAGTCTTAAATATTTTCCCAGAATCCCTGAGGGCCTGAGAGTCTGGTCTATTAATTTATTAGCAAACTATTAAGGGACTTTTGCAAGTGAGCCATAAATTAGTTTCAGCTAGATCTAATCCATCTTAATCAATTTGTCCATCTTATGCTCGATGCAAACAATGTTAGAATCAGTTATAAATATATCGATATAACTGCTAACACCTACTTTGACACTTATCAGAAGAAGCTAAAGAGGCTGACCATAAATGCTTTAGTTGTGTAAAATGTTAGTTTAGCTGACTGATTGTGGCTTTATAACTGTGCTGAAGAATTTTACTAGTGGACCTATTATTGAAAAAAAGAAAGATAACATGGCACTTTATTTATTTGGAAAATTTATATTGCCACCTACTCGCTCACAGCATCTCAAGGTGGCTTACAGGAAATAAAAACACAATATAAAAGAAATAAAAATAATACCCCCCCACCCACCCTGGTGACAACACACACTCATAAAAGCCATTTAATGGACTCCATCCGGCCCTGGGTTCCCCAGGCTCACTGACAAAACCACATCTTCAGCAGTGGTGGTATTCAGCCAGTTCTATCCGGTTCGGGCAACCCGGCAGCGGCGGCTGGGGGAGGCTCCGCCCACCTGCCCAGACGTCATCACGTCCCGTTTTTGATGCTCTGTGCATGCGTGGAAGGACCTCTACGCGCTCACATTTGCGAACTGGTATCGAAGGTAAGTGAATACCACCCCTGATCTTCAGGGCTTCTGAAAGAGTGTCAGAGTGGGGGCCAGTCTAATTTCCAGAGGGAAGATGTTCCAGAGGGAGGGAGCCACCATGGAGAAGTCCCTTCTTCTGGGTCCCTCATGCCAGATATATCTCTTTAGGGCACAGGACCCACAATATTCCTTGCCTCCCCACTCTAGTGGGTCGGGTAGATGTGACCGGCAAGAGATGGTCCCTCAGATAGCTTCGCTTAAACTGTGGGAAAGAACGTCACAAAATGGTTTGGAGGTAAAAGGTTCAACATGATCCTGTTAAAAACCCAGAAGTGGAGAGCTTAGCTAATTAAGTGCACCCTGTGCTTATTATATGTTAGCCGAAACTATGCATATCTTCAATAAATCAGCAAAAAGTGATGAAATATCAAGAAATTCTGATGTACACCTGAGGTTTATGATATAAAGGCAGTTTGTTGAATATCAGCAGACATGCTTGATTTGGACTTGGGAGACCCAACCCAAAGTTGAAATGCAACAAAGGAAGCCCGGGTGAATCAAGAGCCTCCTTACAAGGAGTTTTGCTTTTTTGCTACCAATTTTTGCCTGCCAGTCTGCTCTGAAACCAAGTGTCACGCCAAACAACCAGCTGGAATTCAGTTCAAGGGTAATTTCCCGTTTGCCCTCTACAGCAAACTTCCATTTCTCATAAATGCCATCTCAAACAAAGAAAAAAAAAGAGAGGATGGTACAAGGGTAGGGCAGGTTGAGAGTCCGTTGGTGACGCCCCACCCATGCTTGAGCTAAAGAGCCCGCCCAGGTGACAGGACAGTTTATAAATCAGCTGAAAGCTTTGGGTGCTTCACCTGCTTTGCTGAGAACCTCACGACTAGAAAGCAGCAGATCGCATTGCAATTGGGAAGGCAGTGGCTGATTTGTCGGCGCCAACATGTCGATGGGTTTGGAGATTGGTGGTGTAACCCTATCTATCCTGGGCTTGATAGGCACCATCTTGTGTTGCGGGTTGCCTATGTGGAAAGTGACTGCTTTCATCGGCTACAACATCGTCACTGCGCAGTTCACCGGGGAAGGGCTATGGATGGACTGTGTGACCCAGAGTACTGGCCAGATGCAATGCAAGGTCTACGATTCCATGCTGGCATTGGCACCGGACCTACAGGCTGCTCGGGCCTTAATCATCATTGCCATTGTCCTTGCGGTGATGGGGATATTCATTTTCCTGATGGGAGCACAGTGCACTCGCTGCATTGAAGATGAATCTACGAAGGCCAAGATCACCATCACTTCTGGGGTCATCTTCCTGCTGACAGGCATCCTGATTCTCATCCCCGTCTGCTGGTCTGCCAATAAAATTGTCCGCGATTTCTACAGTATAGCAGTCCCAGCCCCCCTGAAACGCGAAATAGGGCCTTCACTCTACATTGGTTGGGCAGCAGCGGCCCTTTTTCTTTTTGGAGGAAGCTTGCTCTGCTGTTCCTGCCCCCCCAAGGAGGAGAAGTACAGACCCACACCCATGGTCTACTCTGCACCCAGGTCTACTGCTATGAGCTACGACAAGAAGAACTATGTATGAAGTGACAGAACATCCCCATGGTTGTAAGTGTTGCATGCCTACAAGGATGGGTTACTTTGCTTGTACTGTTGCTTGCTCACGCAGAAAAAACTTCCATCAAGATTTATTCTCATGTTCCGTGAGAATTTGTACAGCGATGGTCTGTAGGACTCCCTTCTCATGGAGTTCCCAAGAAGGGGAAGGAACTTGCCTGGCCCCATTTGTCTTTGTTTGACTCTGACATAAAACATTCTTAGACTTTCATCGAACACGTGGCTGGTGAGACCCCATCCCTATTGCTCAAGCTTAGCCTTCAGCCTTCCCTTCAGGGGTCAAAATGACTGCAGACGGTTAGTATAAACCTGGAAGGATCAAGTGGATTGCTTCTTTGAATGATGGTTTCTCTGCTGTTGGATTCCCATCCACCCCGCACCCCGCCACTCAACTCCCAACTTTGGACACCTGTGTTTTCTAACCACTTGTGGTTTCTGAAAGGGGACCCTTCAAGCAACGGGGGAAGAAATATGAACATTTGTTGGACTTGGGGATGAGGACAACGTCAGCACTTGGGGTGGCTGGACAGTTGTTGAATATTCCTGAGACATGGGTGGCAAGTGGCAGAGAGTGTTTTTTCCCTAAAGTTTTATCTTCATTTACACAATATACTAAGAGTGCTTAGCTTGAATCATGGTTAGTTTGGAAGGCTATTGTGTTGCAGAAACCCAACCCAATTGCTTAATTTATGATTCGATGCATATTTGAGTCTGGAGAAATGGTTTAATTCAGTACTCAAGTGAATGTGTTGGGAGGACACGACCGACAAGCCTTTCCTACATTGAACAACAAGTCCTGTATTTGAGATGGGGGGAACAGCTGTCCGAGGAAATTTGTCAGCCACGTTTGAGCATCTGAGCATGGGAATTTGTGTGGATGAGGAATCAAGAAGGCTTATACTCTTCCTCTTCTCATTCTGAGTTTTTTAGAATGAGAGCAAGGTCTGTTCTTCCCATCATAAAGAACCAGCCAGGCATGAAGGTACTGCTCCTTGAACTGCATGTTGACAGCAACTGGTGGAAGGGAGAGAGGTAAAGAACTGCCAGTGGCCCCTCTAGCCAAATAAAGTTTCATCTCTAGACACTTGTGTCCTTAGAAATCATTTCCCCATCTTCCTTTCCAAGATGATACAGAGAGGGCACTTGCTGGAAATGGGCTATAGGGGTGGGCAGATGGGATTTTATTATACATAGTTGAGGGTAAGCATGATTCCCTCTTTTATTCTGTATATATAATAAGTTGCAGTGTGTTTCCTTCTTTGTTCCCCCTAATAAAACTGTTTGAGAAATCAACCAAACCTTGCATACTTAATTATTTGGGAGTTGGCAAATTCCATTCTCCTGGGAACAAGTGAGCTGTACTAGCGAGTCCCAAAGAGATCCATCTTTCTCTGCTGGTGAACATTTTGTTCCCTTTGCTCCACAAGTTAGTTTTGTCATTATTATCTTTTCTCCAAGGTTCTCTGCCCCCCCCCCACTCACCCCGGCAACATAAACAAGGCTTTGCTTGTTTTATGCTCACGACCCTGCCAAGAGTCAAGAGACCATTGGGGGCTTGAGAGAAGCCAAGTTTTTGTTTAAAAATATGAGCTCAACTCTGAACGTGGCCAACAGCAACGGTCCTGAACATTCTGGAGTGGGGAGAAAAAATCTGTGTACAGTCTCTGCACAAACGGCTGGATATGGATTTTCATAACATCAGTTTGTACCAGACTGAAAGTACACCACAAGAGACTGATGAATAAGGTAAAATGGGGAGATTAAGTAGTAAAGATGATGGATTAGAACAGCCATAGGGGATTTGCTTCTCCTATTTCAAAAAGTTGTGTAGAAATAGAGTGCAAACGTTGGATATAAGATTATATTAATATGCCAGTTAATTAAGTTCAGTCAGTAAGTGACAAGGAAAGTCTGTTTCACATGAAAAATGTAAATTCATCTGCAGAACCCACTGCCACAAGATACAGCGATGGCCAGCAAGATGACTTTAACAAAGGCTTGATAAAGCATGGAGAATGAAAAGTGAGCACTGTCCTTGCAGGTTAAATCCAGGTACAGAGCAAACTGCTTCTGGCTATCTAAAACAGTAGAAGCAGACACCAATAAAAGAAGCCATAATGGCGCAGCTCACAAGTACATTTAGAATAGAATGAGCTGGATGGGACCTTGGAGGTCTTCTAGTCCAGCCCCTGCTTAAGCAAGAGAACCTATACCAATTTAGATAAGTGATTGTCTTGACTCTTCTTAAAAACCTCCAGTGATGGAGCGCCCACAATTTCTGCAGGCAAGCTGCTCCACTGATTAATTGTCCTCACTGCTAGGAAGTTTCTCCTTAATTCCAGGTTGCTTCTCTCTTTGATTAGTTCCCAACCATTGTTTCTTGTCCTGCCCTCTGGTGCTTAAATACACTTAATTAGATGGGACCAGTTTTGTCTAATCAGCCCAAATATATTCTTCTAAAAGCAGTTATTTAATGAGATTCAGAAATGATATATTAAATTAGATCAGCATTTCTTAATCTTGGTAATTTTAAGAAAAGTAGACTTCAACTCCCAGAATTCCCCAGCCAGCATACCTGGGATTCTGGGGGTTGATGTCCACCTATCTTAAAGTTGTCTTGGTTGACGAAGCCTAAATGTTGATCAGGAGTGTTCAATTATGGTTGGGTGGGAAATTCTGGGAGGTGAAGTCCACAAGTCTTAAAGTTGCTAAGGTTGGACACCCCTGATGTAGACTAATATGCCCGTAGATGGAGAAGGCACTTGGATTTATCACAAGCTTCAGCTCATGTTATTCTCTTACAATGTGTATAAGCTCTTTGACCTTAACACACAAATATCTGAGTTCCAAGTCAAAGAAACACCACCCCTCCCTTTGGCCTTTGCACCCAATGGGATGACCGGAGTCACAAGAATCCCCCACCCCAGTTCAAACCATGTTACTGAAGCATGATCAGAAGCAAGCAGGAAAACTGGCTACATTAGGCAGGGAAGCAAAATGGGAGACAAATATAACAGGTAGGCAGGCAGGCACACACACACACATACCGAGAGAGAGAAAGAGAGAGAGACACACACAGTCACTGGGCTGATAGTTTGGATATCTCTGAATGAGAACTTCTGTTCTACCTACATGGGGCAGAAACGCATAACCCTTCCTTTCTAAGGCAGTGGCTCTTCAACCATTTGACCCAATTACCCCTTTTTTGGTCTCAAACAACATCATTGACCTCAAAAAAAACCTCAACAGATTGTTTTACACAAGTATCTCTGCAGCAGCAGTCACAAACTGGATCCTCAACTCACAAATATAAGCAATTACAAAGTGCTCCATTACCCTCAGGATATGCTTGAATTACCCCCTCCCCACCCCCAGGATAATTATTCCCCAGTTTAAGAACCACTGTTTTACATCGTATTCATTCCAGGACTTTCTTATACTATATTTAAAAAAACCCAGAACAAATCCAAACTACAGTACCTTATGAGATACCAGTACTATAAAGTACTTTATTGCTTATAAGAAAAGGTTCCAAGGCATAAGAATTGTTCTTATGTTTGGATTGGAAACCTATCTCTTCTCTCGCAATTTATAAGATGCTTGCGTTGTTTATTTATTAATTAAATAAATTTATATCACTGCCCATTTCACACTGGGCGATTTACAATTTTTTAAAAATCCACCACATAATAAAAACTGATTAAAAAAAAATCTCACCCCACCTCACCTGGGAGCAAGAACATAATCAAATCAGTCCTGGATCAGCTCCTTCTCCATTTGTGGTCCCCAAACTTCCTAACAAATCTATGTTTTCAGGGGCCTTTTGGCAAAGAAACAGGGTGGAGGCTAATCATGCCTTGGGGTAGGGGATGATGTTCCACAGAGAAGGGGTCACCACCAAGAAGGCCTTTCTGTCCCACTAGATATACAGTACATCCCTAATCAATGGGACCCATAACATACATTGCCTCCCCATCCTGGTAAACCAGGTGGATGTAATACAGGTAGTCCTCAGCTTATGACCACGATTGAGCCCAGAATTTATGTTGCTAAGTGAAAAATTCGTTAAGTGAGTTTTGCCCCTTTTTACGACTTTTCTTGCCATGTTTGTTAAGTGAATCACTGCAGTTGTTAAGTTAATTACACGCTTGTTAAGTGAATCTGGTTTCCCCATTGACTTTGCTTGTCAGAAAGTTGCAAAAGGTGGTCACGTGACCCTGGGACGCTGCAACCGTCATAAATATGAGTCAGTTGCCAAGCATTCAAATTCTGATCACCTGACCATGGGGATGCTGCAGAGGTCATAAGTGTGAAAAACGGTCATAGGTCACCGTTTTCAGTGCCGTTGTAACTTCAAACGGTCATTTCACGAACTATCATAAGTCGAGGACTACCTGTAGGAGAGACGTGGTTTTTTTATAACCTTTGCATGTTCAAAAGCGTTCTTCAATGTATAGTTACTTTATATGTGCCATTTCCTATGCTGAGAACGCTCTCAAGAGCAAGCGGCCAGTGTTTTCAACTCAGGTGTGAACATGGCTTTGGCTTCTCCTTAAGCTGCAGAGAGTGGCTCGAACCTATTTTCTTTCATTCCCTCATGAGAACGGTTTGGATCTCCGGCCACTTCTCACTTGCATTTTCTCAGGCAGGATTGGATTGAGCAAGCTTCTGTTTATTTTCTCTTGTTCCTGGTTTAGAGAGAGTAACAAACGATCCACACCCTTCTGCTTGGCTTGGTTTAACCGACTGTAGATGAGGAATGAAACAAACACTGCAAACTGCAGAGGCTGGGGAAGAAATAGAGAAGTTTCAGAGGGCAGGATTACAACAGGAAAGGAAGCAGAACAAAACGTCTTTCTTATCCCAACACAATTGGTGGAATTGTTTTGTCCCCATTATCTTGGAATAGCATTCCCAAATCCAGTTGCTCCAGTCCAGATGTATTGGGACTGAGATTCCCAGTCACCATTTTAGCAGTGTCTTCCCCCCCCCCACCCTTTTAATTAAATGCTTCCAATATTTCCTTTGGCACTAAACCAAACTTTAAACACTTTATTATCTACCATTTCGTGGATAGCAACCAGCAAACATGATAAATAAATGCTTAGCACTACATAAAGAATTGATTTAATGTAATTTTTGAAGCAGAGCTTGGCATGTACTCAGCTCATTTGCATCTGAACATTCCCACTTCATTTTTAGACTTCCTTGACTGGTTCTTTTATCCTCTGTTGTGCACAGGATTATAGCATTGTGTCTAATATGTGTATTCTGTGTGAATGTTTTAAGCAATACAGAATAAGAGAGTTGGAAGGGACCTTGGAGGTCTTCTAGTCCAACCCCCTACTCTGGCAGGAAACCCTATACCATTTCAGACAAATAGTTGACCAATCTCTTCTTAAAAACCTTCAGTGTTGGAGCATTCACATGTTCTGGAGGCAAGTTGTTCCACTGATTAATTGTTCTGTCAGGAAATTTTTCCTTAGTTCTAGATTGCTTCTTTCCTTGATTAGTTTCCACCCATTGCTTCTTGTTCTACCCTCAGGTGCTTTGGAGAATAGCTTGACTCCCTCTTCTTTGTGGCAACCCCTGAAATATTGGTACACTGCTATGATGTCTCCCCTAGTCCTTCTCTTCATTAAACTAGACATACCCAGTTCCTGCAACCGTTCTTCATATGTTTTAGCCTCCATTCCCGAATCATCTTTGTTGCTCTTCTCTGCACTCTTTCTAGAGTCTCAACATCTTTCTTACATCATGGCGACCAAAACTGAATGCAATATTCCAAGTGTGGCCTTACCAAGGCATTATAAAGTGGTATTAACACTTCACATGATCTTGATTCTATCCCTCTGTTAATGCAGTCCTTGGTTTTTTTGGCAGCTGCAGCACACTGCTGGCTCATATTTAAGTGATTGTCCACTAGGATTCCAAGATCCCTTCTCACAGTTACCACTATAGAGCCAGGAATCACCTCTAGAACCTGGCTACATTTTTAATATCTTTACAGAAGAATCAAATCAAAGGTTTATTTAATACTGATGTTCCTTGTTTGTAAGAGATTCCCAAATCTGCATCCTTCCAAAGTTTCAAACGCTTTGGCAGGTCGCAAGAATTGCAGAAAAGGGAAGAGAAATGTTGGGGAAATTCTTCTGCTTACTATAAAACTTTACATTTCCCCTCATATCAAACATTGTAACCTGCATTCTAAAAGGCCCCACCTTCGTCATAAAATGTTTTATCTACATGTAACATCAGCAATTAAAAGCCAATAAAAAAAGGCAGCAATTGTGGTTCCAACCGAAGAGTTTCCTTAAAGAGCCAAAACAAAGCAAAAACAAAAACTCCCAACCTTTCCATGTGTAGAAACACAGCATAAATGCCCTGGGTACAATGCTGGCTCTCGAGTCTTCTGGAACCAAGGGAGGTGGGGGGTGGGTGGGTAGGAGGATGCATCAGAAAAAGAGAAAATGATGTCAAAGAAACAGCAAGGATGAGCAGAGCCCTGCTATGGTTTCTGGCACCTTGCGTCCCATTTAATGAGGCATGCAAATATAGTGTGGCTATATTTAACTTTGTGATTAGGATACCAATGAGATGACCTCCCTCCAAAAATTATTTTCTGAGAATTTCCCTAAAAATACAATTTTCCAGGCTCCCTGGGGAATATTCTGTGAAATATGCCTCCTCCTGTCCCTGTCTGCAGACTACCTACAGCAGGGGTCCTTAAACTACAGCCCGCGGGCCCAATATGGCCCACCAAAGCCATTAATCCGACCCACGCGGGACCACGAGGCTGCCCCACCCACATTGCCCAACCTACCCACCAGCCCCCACCCGCCTTTTGAAGGCCGAGGAGGCCAAAAATGAGATGCACAGAGGCTTCAGGAGGCCAAAAACGGGCCCGTTTTTGGGTGGCAGAGTGGTTCTAGAGGCCGAGGAGACCAAAAATGGGATGCACGGTGGCCAAGGAAGCCAAAAATGGAACTGTTTTGGCCTCCTCAGCCTCCAGAGAGAGAGACGGAGAGAGGGAGAGAAAGACACACACACACACAAACAGAAGTCCCTTACACACACCCCAAGGCAGTCATATCCCTTCACTAACCTGCTTACCACCCCCAGGAGCATAACAAATTGAAGTTTAATGGACTGCTAAATTGGCCATGTCCACCCAGTCACATGACCACCTAGTCACACCTTCCTGGCCCCCCAACAGTCTGAGGGTCCGTGAATTGGCCCCTTTTATTGTTGGCTGTTCACCGCCCTGAGTCCTTCGGGAGTAGGGCGGTATATAAATCAAATAAAAGTAAAGTAAATTAACCTCTGCTGAATTTTCTCAGAAGGTAATTTTCCATGAAATGTTTTTGAAAATGTGGTTTCAAAAAACACCACAAACTAGATGGGTAATTTTGGGAGTTCGCTTTCTGCTTAGATGTAGCATGTAGCACGTGCTCTGAGGCTTTAACGCTTTTTTCCCAACCTAATGCTTTCCAGATACGTTCGGATTACAACCTACGAAATTCCTAATACTGTTCACTGTTGCCCAATTTATTGCTTTTCAGGGGGTGAAAAATGCTGGTTATCAAGATCCAACACATGGGAGGATCAGCTATCAGTTGAGCCAGGAGGAACCTGTTCTGGGGCACGTAACTCTGTTCAGTTGCTAATTGCACTTGAGAGAGTATATGGGAGAAAAGGAGGCAACCAGCTAGACGCAATTTAATAAGCACTCTAGAAGTGGTGGAGTCTGTCCTCACCAGGACAACGAAGGACTGTTCTATACAACTCACTTCGGCAGAAAGGATAGGTTTTGTGATTGCCACATTCGGAGCACATGACCGATACCAGGACAGATGGAAGATACTTGGCCCCAAGCCAACTTGCTGCCTGGCTGTAGTTTAACTCTTCACCAGTCTTCAAAGGCAGCAGTTCTAATAGGGAACAATGGTGTGTGAGGACTGGAAAGGGACACAGGTCTCTGGATCTCTTGGGTGAGGAAGGTCCCCATCTTCCATGTTTTCTTCACTATATTCTGCTGAAGTTTGTGACAGGATCTTAATCATACCAAAGAGCAAAGCGCTACCGGTATTTTCCAGGTTGTGGAGGCTTTTCTTTTTTGACCTGTGAATCAGATAGCAACTAAACAAGAACAGAATGAGCCTGAAGATTAATGATTAATAGTTCTGTAATCATGTATAGTAGTTGTTGGAGTTCCAGATATCTATGATCAATTATTATTTGTTAATGTCAAAGTTCTGTGGTAAAAATAAAATGGGTGTATCAAGTGGGGAAAACATGTACACTATTGTGGAATCTCTTGCTTGTACAGAATAGATGTGGTTTCAGAAGTCACATTCACATATTCAGAGGCAACTGCATTATCACTATTATCTAATTGGGTTCACACCACACACAAAAATCAGGTTAACAAACCGTAAGTGCTGCATTCACATGGCACATGATGCAAACAAATTATGGTTCAGCAGGATTGCTTGGCTAACATAACATGCTGAGGCAGTGGCTGAATTTCCACAAAACACTGAACTCTAAATTATCTAATTTAATGTTAACCTAGTTTAGCAGGTTGTATGAACCAGGCAGACTTCCACAGAAGGATGTTTTAGGGAGGAAATTTTAAAGTTTTGCTGTGGAAGGAGCTGGTAAGTTACAGAGAGACTAAAAAGTATTACATGGTCTATCAATCAGCTTCCACAGTTCCACAATATAAATTGGGCCAGTAAAATGTGTGAAAATTTAATGCACAGCAAAACAGCTGATTTATGAAAATGAGCAAATAATAATTCTATAGGACAGAAATGCGTGTTTATTCTTTCTCACATTTTCAGCCTTCGAAGAATGCAGAAGACATTCTACTATACCTATAAATAAAAAAGTGGTATTAAACCCAATAGAACAGTGGTTCTCAACCTGTGGGTCGGGACCCCTTTGGGGGTCGAACGACCCTTTCACAGGGGTCGCCTAAGTCCATCAGAAAACACATATTTTCAATGGTTTTAGGAATAATTTTATGGTTGGGGGTCACCACAAAATGAGGAACTGTATTAAAGGGTCACGGCATTAGGAAGGTTGAGAACCACTGCAATAGAAGTTTAGTTCAATCTGTACCATTGAATTTTGATGGCTGATTGCTGCAATCATGGGAGGTCATAAAGCAAAAAAAACAAACAAACCCCAAGGTGCCTGCATGTGATTTATAAGCTTCAGACTACTGAGGAAGGTAACTCCATACCTGGATTAGACAGACCTCTATCCACTTTAATGCCACCCTTACAATGTATATAAGCCAGCCAAATCCTTCCAATAAACTTGTAAATGATCATGATTCAGGACCATTCCAAATACATTCTCACTGCACAGATAGTTCCATTCCAAGTCAGGTTCAGCTCCTGATGGACAAATCCATATGATTTTTACATTTTTTGAAGCAGTTTTCCATTTTTCTTGTTCTAAGATTGATTTCCCAGTCTAAGATGTTCTGGTGACCTCAAATTCTTATACTAATCAAGCCCCATCTTGCTTAGCTCAGGCAATAATTGGATGTGTGCTGCCACCTGCTGAGACAAGCTCTTATTATATCTAGTTTGTAACTCCCTTCTGAATTAAAAAGCGGGAATTAGAAATGAAAATTAGGATTACGACACCCTCAAACAGTATAAGATTGTACCTCTAGTTTGTACTGTAAGTGCTACATAAAAATGGTAACACAGAGAATCCTGCTTCTTTGACAATATATTTTATTTGTGAAATAAGTGGCATTAGCTACTATCTATTAGCTATTTTTTTCTTTGAGAAAGAAAGTCAGTTTAATTCCATATTTTACTGTCAACAGCTTCATGTATAGAAAGGCAGAAGCAGGAAGAATTTTCTATTCTTTTCCTCATGCAGGAAATGGCAATAATTAAAATAAAGTGGCCTCTTGCTTGCCTGAAAGCTATTAATATTTATTATACTACTAATCCAGTCAATAACTAAAATCCTCTGGGTGAACTAAAAGTTAGTAAAAACATTTTTATATTTTATGTATATTAAATAAACACACAGTAAATAGCATCACAGACAGCGTAAAGCCTACATTCATTTTTATGATATGGATTGGTCTTGCAATGCTGAATAAAACAGTCAATATTCAAATTATTTCCTTTACTAGAACATCTTTTTTAGAGATAATGGAGAATGAAAGGGCAAAGGGAAGAGCTTTGAACAATCACATTTGATTATTATTAATTTTTTTTTTTTTTGGTATTTCCCTAGAACAATGGTTCTCAAACATTTTGGTCTTAGTGCTAGCATTAAATGGAATTTTAGACTTCATTATTAGCCTTTTAATAAGGGTGTTATTAGCATTTTAACATGGCATCCATATTTCTTTTTGAAGTTCAGGAAAACATGTTTCTTTTTAATTGAAGTCATTTCTTCTTTTGATAGCAAGAACCAACCTTTTCAGCAACTAAACAATATTCTGGAGATCCTTGAATACAGACACTCCTCGATTTACAACTGTAATTCAGCCCAGGAATAAGATTGTTAAGTCACTATGGTTGTAAGTCAACATGACCGGAAGTAATTTTCCAGACTTTTTTGCAGCAGTTGTTGAGGAAACGTGGTGGTCATTAAGCAAACATTGCAATTGTTAAACAAACATGCTGGTTGTTAAGTGACCCAGTTCATCTAAATGGGCATATTTTGCAGGAAACTGACAAAAAAACCAGCACAAATTGTGTTCACATGACCATGCCGCAAGCAGTCATAAAACTGATCCGCCCAATATGCATTCATCAAACGTTAAGTGAGAACTAACTGAATACATGTTATATTATGAAAGATACCAATTGGACTGGAAGAAGATGACAAAACCCATAAATTTGCCATTTGAGGAATATTTTCTAGGATCAATGTTTTCTACTGTTTAATTCTCATGTTTAAGAAATGCCTTCCTGTTTGATTTGTTGCTTTCTGGCGCATCACCCATAACAAATGTTAACATTTGTTTCTATACCCTATAAAAAGGTATAGATAACCCCCCCCCTCCATAGATACTTTTATTTTTTGCCTGAATTATTTGGTGATTTGTATTTTCGTGGCCAAAAAACAACAACAAACCTTAGCAGAGGTAAACATGTTTTTCTCTCTCAAATTCAGGAAATAGTTCTTCAGCTCCACATAAACTATTTGCCTGAGTTTCTAGGCGACATCAGGACCCTTTATATTCTTAAAAATGGTTGAGGACTCTAAAAAGCTTTGGTTTATGTGGATTATACCTATTGATATTTACTGAGTTAGAAATTAAAACTAAATTTTTTTACAATATTTATTTGACTTCATGGACCACTTGAAAAGTGGTCACAAACCATCCAAGAAACAAATGTAGACAGAGATCAAGATCAAGATCTAAGAGAGGAGCATGGAAGGCAAGTCAAAAAAAAAAGCATATCAATTAACGCATTGAAGCAGGCAAGAGACGATGGATAGATGATGATTATTATTATTTTAATCGTTTTGATTTGCCTTTTCTTCTCCCTCTCTTTCGCTTAAAGCATAGCAATTAAAAGTATCGAAGCGGGCAAGAGACGATGTATGGATGGTTTCTTTTCTTTTATGTTGTTGCTAGGAATTGCTCCTCCCTTTCTCTCTCTCTCTCTTTTCTTTTCTCTCTTTTTTTTAGGTAGATGACATAATTAGAAGTTAGAAAGGAAAGAAAGCAAAAGTATTTTAATAAAGGATGATACGATTAAAAGCTAGAATAGGTGATAGAAATAAGAGAAAGGGAATATAAATGTATACATTTTTATATAATGAAAGCAATAACAAGAGAAAACGTGGAATAACTGAACAATGATAGATTGCAATCTAAGACAAATGCATATTATTTACCAGAAATATATAAGTTGATTGAATGTAATAATTATGATTAACTTTGATAGTTTTATTTGTATTAGAATGTATGACACCCAGATGTCACACTGTTCACGCATTGATTTGTTACACTTATAAAAATAAAAAACTTGATTTAAAAAAAAAGAAAAGTGGTCACAGAGACATCCAGGCATACCCAGGCCACATCTCGGGAACGCCTTCCTGATTGGATTGGATTGAACTAAACTAATCTCAAAAAGGTGACTTCTCAGATGAGAGACTTCCGAGGAATACTGGGGATAAACATGAGATTGGGAAGTTGTGTATCTTGCGGAACAGAGCAATGGCATCGCACTTCAGCACCGCGGATATACACTGCTCAAAAAAATAAAGGGAACACAAACAGAAGACATCCGAGATCTGAATGAATGAAATAGCCTTATTAAACACTTTGTTCGTTACATACAGTAGTCAGGGCCGGATTTAGATGAAAAGAGGCCCTAGGCTATTCCACTTATGAGGCCCTTTCACCTATAGTGAAAGTGTAATTTTAATTTTGCTAACAATTTGAATGTAGGCCCCTCTTGATCTTGAGGCCCTAGGCTGAAGCCTAGTTAGCCTATAGGAAAATCCGGCCCTGACAGTAGTTTTGTGTTCCCTTTAGTTGTTTGAGCAGTGTATAAACTACTGTATGTAACGAACAAAGTATTTAATCAGGCTATTTCATTCATTCAGATCTCGGATGTCTTCTGCTTGTGTTCCCTTTATTTTTTTGAGCACTATATTTGCCTGCAATCAACAGGCATGGATGGAGTTCAGTTTCCGACAGACTATCTGACTTGCGGAGAATCTTTTTTTTTCTTCTAAGAATCCTACCCATCATAACGTTTTCCTGGATGTTTTATATGTATTTTACAAGTATTAGTTGAAAAAAAAAGTGTTTTATGCAATTCCGAAACTTGGCTTTACAGTATTAGCAACCAAACACGAATAAGGGAATTCGTGGCTCCCTCTGGTGACAGAGAAACGCCAGTGGGCGTGTCCCACAAAGCCGGAAGGGACAAGACGTTCGTATTACTTTCTTCTATGGCAGAGGTGAGGAACGGTACGGCCCTTTTATGACTTGTGGACTCCAACTCCCAGAATTCCTCAACCAGCACGAGAATCGACCCCATTCGATGATATCGGACACCTTAGCAACCGACCCGGAAGTAGATCTGTACCTACGTCCCTTCATTAATTTTAGTCTCTTTGTCACCTTGGTGACCGCTACGCCCGGCCAATGATGCTTCGCGCTCTTGGCTTTCCGCCTTCTCCGTTTCGCTGGCCGCGAGCCCAGACGCTCCGATGCCGCCTCAGTATCACAGCCCGGGAAAGAAGGGGTTTCGCCGGTCGTGCCACGATGTAAGAGCTCGGGAAGGGAGTAGAACTTGGAAAGGGGAGAGCGAACCTCCTGCAAAGGCTTGGCAGGTGCATGAAGCCTCCATGTTTCCGGTTGTGTCAAGATCATGGACCGGATGTAGTCATCATAGAGATGGAAAGGACAGGCTGTAGATAGACATTAAAATGATGGCGTCCCAACAGCCTCCCCCTTTTTGGCGGTCAGCTGCGATGGGGCGGCAGAAATGGTCTCCATGAAAGTCAGACCAAACCTGACCTATTGCAGGGGAACAGAGCACCCCATATTGTTGCCATGTCCCCTCATATCCTGGTCCCCTTCTGGATAATGTAACAGTAACAGAGTTGTGGAAGGGATCCTGGAGGTCATCTAGTCCAACCCCCCCTGCTTACGTAGGAGACCTATACTAGGGATTCGAACCGCCGAATTGCCGACTTTTCTGATCGACAAGCTGAGTGTCTTAGCCACCAAGCTACCTAGTTAGGTGATTTGTAAGGGTGACTTTTTGGTGCCCTGTAAACTAAGCCACCGCCGCCACCACCAGTTAACAAGTCAAGCATATTTTCGTTTCCAGCTGTAAAAGAATAATGTTCCGTATCAACCTAAAATTTAAAGCAGGCCAGCTTCAAATGGCATCTCAAGGAAAAGTTACAGACATGGAAGTGGATAAATGAATATAAATAGTCATAAATCTATTCCTTAAACGACGTTTTTAAAATTTACCAACAATGCCATATTGCTGTTATTACATAGGTTGGTGTTTAGTTACAGTTATTCTCTCCTATTGTTCTTACCTATAATAGTTTGAAGTTCAATATGTTGATGTCTGATCTGTGTCAACGGGGAAAGTTATGCATCTTTCATAACTGATTTTGTTTCATCCTAGAGTCTTCTTATATTTTTAGGGAGGCTTTTAGAGATTGTTCCTTAAAATGAAATTTGGTGGCCTTTCACCTGGAATTTGTGCAATTCTTGTCCGAAATTCCTGCATAATAGTTACCAATTTGGTTGTAAAAGCCCATAAGATTACTACCAGTAGATGGCAGCATACAGATGCAGAATATTTTCAGTCGATTCTGTTTTTAAAATGCTATTTATTGATTCCTTTGAAATGAATTTATGTTGATAGTAAGCTGCCTCAGAGACTCCTAAGGGGAAAGATGGAGCATCAATAACCAAAATCTTGTTTATGGTTTGCTTATTCTACCTTACTGGTCCTTATAGAAGCCTTCAGATTTTTCAAAGAAACCCACAAGCAGGGCACAAGTAAAATGACTTTTTTTTTTTACAATAGAAGGTGACTTCCTAAAGAACCTTCCTGGAGATTCTTTTTAGCTAATAGTCATTCATAAATCTGTCCTTACATTCATTTGTCTTTATAAACCTTGTAAACCTTGCTACTAGTCTTAGCTGAAAAAATTAAGGCCATGGGATGGCAGCAAGGAGGGTTTCTACATATCTCGGTTACTATCTGCCACTTTGTGGTCATCCACATAATTGCAGTCCGAGTCTGCTAGCCTAACCGTCAACTTGATCATGAATTTTGTTTTATTTATAGGCCAGTGCCTCTATCCTATGCCATTTTTGATGGACCCTCATCAGATCCTCCACTTGTTTTCCTGCATGGGCTGTTTGGAAGCAAATCCAATTTTTCATCCCTCGCAAAAAAGTTAGTGCTCCAAACTGGTCGCAAGGTGGGTAAAAGATGTATGGTCATCCAGAGAAGGGTTCCGACTGGTTTGCAAGTCAGTTGCTGCCAAAAACTAGCCATTTTTATGTTAATGTTTATGTTTTATGTTTATACTGTACTCAGAAGTTCTTTTGCAGGATTTTGTATAACTTGAACAAAACATTCTAAAATATTTTTCAGTCTGTCTCAGGTGAGCCATATTTTTTTATGGTTTTTTAATGCAGCTCTAAATTCAATACAACGGAGAGTCTTTGTTCTTTCTAATGTCTCTTGCTGCAGCTTCATCTTGTCTACTGTCTCATAAACAACCTCAAAACATTCAGACGGGATTAAGATAGTGTTGCAAACAAGAACAAGCGAAGTACATGTATATAAGAGAAGGAGAACATTAATCAAAAACAAGGTGTTGAACCACAAAGCAGGTGTAGACATTAGCTAAATGAGAAAGTAAAATTGAACTGATCTGAACTAAGAGTCCTCTAGATTTCTCTCATTAGATTTCATGCTCTGAGACAATAAGTACAAAAATATGAGCTTTCTAGATAATATTGGAAAGATTACAATAGTGCATAATGCATCAAAATGAATCGTTCTGGATAACAAGATGGGTAGCATATATATTTAATAAATAAATAAAAATGAATAAAACAGAAGAAATGCAACTTTTTAAAAATTCTCAAATAATTTGTTCTGCTTTTTACAACACTGAATCTGCAGGTTATTCTGCTGATTTTTATAACTTGGTGACCTTAATACAAATCTTATGCAATGCTTTTTTTTTTGGAAGTCTGCAAGCTTAGCTAAGATATATCTTTTCCCATGATTCATAATGAGTCCAGATTGGGCTGGAATTAAAGCCCAAAGCTCTAAATTAATCGCTTCTTTTAAATCTTAGTTGGTTTTTGTCTCTCTCTCTTGCATAGTTTTAATATAAATGTATTAATTATAGATTATAGTTATTATTATTTATTATTATTTATTGGATTTATATGCCGCCCTCTCTCCAAAGGACTCAGGGCGGCTCACATCAATGAAACAATCCCAATAAATACAGATTAAAACAGACTAAAAACCAATTTAAAACAGTAGACCCCATCAGTCCTGGCTAGGGCGTTTAAACTGTTGGGTCTTAAGCTCACGGTGGAAGGTACGAAGGTCGGGGGCCAGCCGAAGACCCACAGGAAGTTGATTCCAAAGGGTGGTGGGCGCAGCCACAGAGAAGGCTCTACCCCTGGGGGTCGCCAGCCGACATTGTCTAGCCAACAGCACTCTGAGTAGGCCCTCTCTGTGGGAACACACCGGGCGATGGGAAGTCGATGCTGGTTGCAGGTGGTCCGACAGATATCCTGGGCCTAAGCCATGAAGGGCTTTATAGGTTAACACCAGCACCTTGAATCTCACCCGGAGGGCAACCGGCAACCAATGCAAGTCGCGCAGGAGAGGTGTAACATGGGAGTATCGTGATCCTCCCATTACAACCCGCACAGCCGCATTCTGCACCAGCTAAAGCTTCCGAGTGGTCTTCAAGGGCAGCCCCAGGTAGTTATATTAAGTATTTAATATAAATATATAAAAACTATGCAAGAGAAACAAAAGCAAACTAGGAGAATCAACCTATTAAAAGGAGCTAAATTCCCCCTACAAGGCCTGGTTTGCAGCTTTGAAGAACTTCTTTGACCCAGAGCTGTTCCTGAATCTCTATGGGATGGAAATAGTAATTAAGCTTTTCTGCAACTTCCTCAAATGTATGTATTGCAACAATTTCTGAGGTGGTCAGACCTGGTAATAATCATTTGTGCAATTGTGACATTATGTTTAAACTACTAGACTGCACAACTGTGCACTAAATGAGGCTACCTTGGAAGAATCTCCAGAAGGTTACTGGAAAATTCAACAGCTAGACTGTTCCTTGGTGGATCATCATAATTTCATTGAAATTATGTTTGAAATATAGTTCTGGAGATTCTTAAGTAAGTAAGGCCTTATCTTTGCCAACCTGCTGGCTTCCTTCTTCTCTTGCCCAGATAGGTGCTAACAGTAGATGCCCGCAACCATGGGGATAGCTCCCACAGCCCCGTCATGACCTACGAAGCAATGAGTGCTGACATCCATCTCTTTCTGAACCAACTGCATCTCAGTAGGTGTGTCTTAATTGGCCATAGCATGGGCGGCAAGACAGCTATGGTATTCGCGCTACAATGGGTAAGCACCTCTGACTAGTTTCTTCTGGTATTTTACTGTTGATATTGGAGTAATAGGCCTTTTAGACAAAAGGGGAGTTGATTATTGAGAGAGGAGGAAAAGTAGGTGCTTAGGACGTAGAAATATTTTATTACCAGAAATTTGTTTATAGGGATGAAGGGGGAACATGGAAGTTTGCATCCATTGCAATTAAAAGATTTGTACATAATAGATATCATAAACAGATGATGGATGGATGCGTCAGGGAATCCTATAATACAATATTGTGAACAACAATAGAACAATTTGTAATTTCTATGGATAGCTAATATAAAAACAAATCAATGATAGAACAAATTGATCCGGAGTTGCCACTTAAAGCACAAATCTGCAGGCTCAAATTATCATATTTGGAACACTATTTGAAGACCTAGCTCTCTAGACAAGTCTATAATACTGAGAAAGGTGAGAAGAAAGGGAAAATGAAAGGGACATTGGAAACCATTGGAAAACCTGGGGGGGCAGTTTGGAGACAAATGATATCAAATGATCTCATTTTGCATAATTTATGGTTTTACAATTCAGGGTGTTTGTGTGTGTGTGGGTGTGCTTTAAAAACATTTCCTCTATTCTTTTTTTTTAAATTAGCTACAAAATCCCAGGTTTAAACAGTTGTACAAGTTCAGAACACACAAACAGACAAGAACTGAAGTATCTCAAAACGTACATACTGTATTTCAAATTAACAAGGACAGCCAACATGTAATTTTCTGGGATGGTAAAGTTAACAGTAATATAAAATTTGAAACAATTGTGAACTCAACAGACTTGTAGCCAATTTTACAATTTTTAAGTATAATTTCACATTTACTCTTTTAGTCCCTATACTCAGTTTGAAGAACACAGTGCAGAATAGGTGCAGCAACTGTTAGTCACAGTTGACCCATTCTCCTCTGGAAGAGGGGATAGGGGACATAGATTATAGTCAAACGTAAAGTTTTAAATCTCTTTTTTTCTGAAACACAATTGTCGTCTTCTTACAATGTCTGTGATGGAAACTGAAACAGAATAAAAATTCTTGTCTGATACACTGAATCTGCCCCTGGCTTAGAATTCTTATTAGAGTCTAGGCTAGGGACTGGTGTGATAGCTCTTTCAGCCAATGATTCCTATGATCTCCCCCTCCCCCCCAAAAAAATTTGTTCCTTTGCAGCCGGAAGTGGTAGAGCGCTTAGTGTGTGTTGACATCAGTCCTAGCCAAACAAAAGATGTCAGTGGCTTTCAGAAGTTCATCGCTGCCATGAAAGCAGTGGATATCCCTAAAGGTATTCCTCGTTCCACTGCACGCCGTATGGCCGAAGAACAACTGCGCCCTACTATTCAGGTAAAGCGTTTTTGTCAAAGAGCACACATTACATATTTCAGATCCAAACTACTTCACCTCTCTAAGTGAGGCGTGTGTGGCATTTTTTAAAAACAGAATATATCATTCTTCAGAGCTGGGCATGTATTGCAGTCTGATCATACTCATGGGGAGGAACAGGCTCAAGCTCAACCCTTCCAAGACTGAGTGGCTGTGGCTCCCGGCATCCCGATATAGTCAGTTGACTCCATCACTGACTATTGGGGGAGAGTCTTTGGCCCCCACAGAGGGGGCTCGCAATCTGGGAGTCCTCCTGGATAGGCAGCTGTCCTTGGAGGAACATCTGACAGCTGTAACCAGGGGGACCTTTTGTCAGGTTCGCCTGATTCACCAGTTGCGGCCCTTTCTTGATCGGGATTCCCTGTGCACAGTCACTCATGCCCTCGTCACCTCTCGCCTTGACTACTGCAACGCTTTCTACATGGGGCTCCCCTTGAAGAGCACCCGGAGGCTCCAGCTGGTCCAGAATGCAGCAGCGCGGGTAGTGATGGGAGCAGCATGGCGCTCCCATGTAACACCGCTCCTGCGCGAGCTGCACTGGCTCCCAGTGGTCTTCCGGGTGCGCTTCAAGGTGCTGGTTATCACCTTTAAAGTGCTCCATGGCATCGGGCCTAGCTATCTTCGAGACCGCCTGCTGCTACCAACGACCTCCCATCGTCCTGTGCGCTCCCACAGAGAGGGCCTCCTCAGGGTGCCATCAGCCAATCAGTGCAGGCTGGTGACCCCCAGGGGGAGGGCCTTCTCTGTGGGTGCACCTACCCTCTGGAATCAGTTGCCCCCAGAGATAAGGAGAATCCAAGACCTTAGCGCCTTCCGCCGTGCCCTTAAAACCCACTTTTTCCAGCAAGCCGGGCTGGCTTAAGAAGAAATTTTAAATGTTTTAATTGGTTTGTATTTTTAATTTTGGGCCAAATTTATATATATATTAATTGTTTTTAATATTTGTATTCCATGTTTTTTAATTCTGGCTGTACACCGCCCTGAGTCCTCAGGGAGAAGGGCGGTATATAAATTTAAAATAAAATAAAATAAATACTAAAGGGACAAAATGTAAATCAGTTTACCAAATTCAGCTTTATGTGGATGTACTCACACACAATTACATGTGCAAGGATTATGTTTCACATTTAAGTCATCATCCCAGTACTTTTACCTTTTTGTGTGTGTAGGAGCCAACCATCCTCTATTTTCTACTTACCAACCTAATGAATGCGGAGGACCAATTTGTATGGCGTGTGAATCTAGAGGCCATTTCACAGCATCTGAATGACCTCATGAGTTTTCCTGTCTTCCAGACATCTTATCTAGGGCCTACTCTCTTTCTTGGGGGTTCCAAATCTGGCTATATTAGGTAAGAGACTTGGAGCATCATTTAAAATAATATCTGCAGGGTTGCAGCCTGAAGTCTTTTTACGTTGCATATCAAACACTTTCCAGTAAACAGTAGACTGTAATCTACATCTCCCAAACGGTAAATTTGTCTTGCTGAGTGTCTGCAGATGATGTTTTTGAACATAGGCATCATTTAATCTGAATTGTATTTTGCACAGCTAAATCAAATGTATTTGGAAGTTTAGATCTGGTGGATGTTTCTACAATAGTCTTGCTGTTTAACTTTGGTTTCCAGAATGGTCTACCATTTCACCTTGCTTTTCAGGGTCAGTTGAAATCATCAGGTCCTTTTTCACTGAGTTTTTTTTTTTTTACTTCCTTTTAATTTCACTCCTTCACAAACAACTAGTTATCTTTATTTTACACACCAGTAGTACAAACAAGTTGTTTTATTATTATATTGATTGATATAATTTATATACTCCACAAAGTTCTTCTTGCAATTTTTCCTATTTTCTTCCCATTTCTGTATCTACTTTTCTGCAGTTCCAATAACTACCCTGAGATCAAACGGCTCTTTCCTGATGCTGAAATCCAGCATATTCCTGATGCAGGGCACTGGGTTCATGCAGATCAACCCCAAGAATTCATCACTACCATTTGCGACTTCATTGCACTCCATCCACTCTAGGATTTCTGAACAGATCCACACAAACTATCCTATCAAGATTGGAAGTTTTCTCCTTGGACTTAGTGTTGTATATTGCTGATGGTCTCATTTCAAAAGCTCTGTGCAAGTGATCCATTCAAAGTTTCAGTCAAATTGTCAGTCCTTTCCCTGGTGATCTGCTGCTTGAAAGAGTTAGAAGTGGGAGTTGGAGAATGAGAGAAAAGAGAGATGTTAGAAAAAAGGAGCGTCAGAAAACAAAACTGAGGAGTCTTATTCAATTTTGGCTCTGGCTCAATTAACCGTTTGTTCCAGTTCTGCCAGTCATTCAATGCAGACTCCAAGTAGGTACACTTAATGGAATATGCCCTCAGGTTTCCCACTTCTGACCTAAATGAGCACATAGATATTGAGACACTCAGAATCTTACCCATTTATTCAACTAGATAGCATGTGATAAATAAGATAATCTACTTGTGGTTAACAGGTAACTCTAGTCTATGTATGTATATATGTTTATTTATTTATTTAATGACCCTTTTAAAAAAAGGCGAACACCACGCTGACAAATTCATTGCTCCAGATGAGAAATAGATTTCACCCTCCAGTGTTTCTTAATTATTCAGCTAGCCCCCAATCCATAATTCTTGATAACACTAGACATATAATCAAGGACACATGCTTCCTTAGACAATCTATATAGTAATAAAACTTTCGTTCCTGTAGCTTTTAACTGGGCAAAACAATGCATCATATAGCAGCTGTTTTTGAACCAAGAAACCGAAATGGGCTAACTTGCAGACTTAATCCAAAATCCAGGATCTGTGACATCCATGGAATTGAAACGTGGTAAATTTTATAAAACAATTTATAATATAACATTATCATAAATCAGTTCAGAACATACAGGTAGTCCTTTACTTACAACCATTTAGTGATGGTTCAAAGTTACAATACCACTGAAAAAAGTGACTTATATAACTGTTTTTCACACTTACAACCGTTGCAGCATTCCCATGGTCACACAATCAAAATTCAGACACTTGGCAACTGATTCATATTTACATCAATTGCAGTGTCTCGGGGTCATGTGATTACCTTTTGCAACCTTCTGACAAGTAAAGCCAATGGGGAAGTCAGATTTACTTTACAAGCGTGTTACTAACTTAACAACTGCAGTGGTTCATTTAACAATTCTGGCCAGAAAGGCTGCAAAATGGGGCAAAGCTCAACTGTCTCGCTTAGCAACAGAAATTTTGGGCTCAATTGTGGATGTACGTCGAGGACTACCTGTAATACAATATGTCATAAAACATTTCCTATGCTGATGTTTGACCATGGTATAGAGTTCAATGTGGACTATTCACAAGGCAGATACATCTCTGAAAGTATCCCAACCTTTCCAGGGAAGACAGAATATTAGAAGCTTTGTCATTGTTGAAGACGTAATGAATTTGCAATGGCAACATCTCTGATGAAAGGATGACCCAGTGGGATCAGAGGTTGTCTTGTACTTCTTTAAAAGTGATTGATCCAAGGTAATAACAACCCAGTCATAATCAACTCTTTAGGTTGCTCCTGGTCCTTGAAGATAAAAGAAAGAAAACGGATAAGTTTCAGCTATATATTTTTTGCTATTGTTTGGATTATTTAGCAGGCTTTTAAATATGAGTTATTTACTTAAGGCCTATTTTTGTGCTTGTTGTAATTGAATACCACATTTAAAAGGAATCCATGGCAAGGAGGTTTTGAGCATTTTGCATACTCAGTAATTGTGATACTGACAATACTTGATAATGTGACAGTATTTGTGATATTTATGAATTGGTATTCTGTTACAACACAATTCCTGATGTCTCCTGTCCTCAATTGTACCCATCTTCTATAGTCTTTTCCAGCAATTTGCAAATTGCCCAACTTTTTTAGTAGAATTTTAACCAATGTAAGGTTAAAAAATGTTTCTCTTCTCAGTCTTGGCAACCAGCAAGACTGCCTTTAAATGGCTTCATGCATTTTGCAGAATTATTACTAATGTTATTATCACTAGATCTTTTTCCTGCCTTTTTTATATATAATTCAACGTGGCAAATGTAGATAATACAGGTACTCCTCAATTTATGGCCTTAGATTAGTGACCATTCAAACTTACAAGAGACCCTAAAAATGGAAACTGGTTTTGAAATTCTTTTTTTTTTTTTTTGAAAAAAGTTTTATTTTAGATTAAAATAAAAAATAAATAAATAAAAACAACATAAAAATATCATCCTTACAAACAATTATAGACAGCGTCTCAATCGGTTAAAATCATTTCGTGCTTACAATTTTCCAGATCTCATCATATAACAATTATTCTTTACTTAAACTGAAGATAAATATTTAAGCATTTCATATATGCTATCTCGTCTCCATACTTTTTTGTCAAACCATTGATAAAATATCTCCCATATCAAATAATATTGTTTATCTTCATGTTCTCTTATTTCAAATGTCAATCTACTCATTTTAGGACAATCCAACATTTTCATAATTTCTTCATCAGTAATTATCTTCTCTCCTTTCCAGTTTTTGGCAAATACAATTCTGGCTGCTGTTAAAATGTACACAGTTAAGTATTGTAATTCTTTATTAAATGTCTCTGGTAAAATTCCTAATAAAAATATTTCTGGTTTAAAGTCAATATGTCTCTTTGTCATTTTTTCTAACCACGTATGTATTTTAGTTCAAAATCTCCTTGCTTCCACGCCTGTCCACCACATATGGTAGTACGATCCTGGAGTTTGATGACACTTCCAACATTTCTCCGATTTATTCTTAAACATCTTGGCTATTCTCGTCGGGGGTAAATGCCATCTGTAAAATATCTTATATAAATTCTCTTTATATGCTCTTGACATTGTCATTTTGTAATTATGTAACCACAATTTTTGCCATTTCTATAAATCAATACTATAACCAAATTTTTCCCCCCATCCTATCATTGATTCTTTGACTTGTTCTTCTAATTTTACTTCAAATAAATATCCATATAACTTTTTAATTACATGGTCATCTGAACCCATTAATATCTTGTCTAAACCAGTCGAAATACTATAAATACCTTCTTGTTTAAAATCTTCTCGATATCCAGAAAGTATTTGCATGTATAAAAACCAATCTATTTTAATTCCCTGATCTAAGTTTTGTTTCAATTTAAGTTCACCCTTTTCATCCAATAGTTCATTATATCTAACAATTTGCTCCCCTCTAAATACCACTGGATAAGAAAAGGCTTTAATTGTAGATACCCAGACTGGAATCTTCAAGTAATGATATTTTTTAATCTTCTCCCATGTCAAAAATAAAGCTTCATGTAACTGATGTCTTCTAAAATACCCCTGAATTTTAGTTCCTTTATACCATAAGAAAGCATGCCATCCCATCAGCAAATCATGTCCCTCCAAATTTAATAATCTAGTGTTTTTCAATGTTACCCATTCTTTAATCCACATTAAACAAACAGCTTGATAGTATAATTCAAAATTCGGTAATCCAAAACCACCCTTCATTTTAGCATCTTATAACAGTTTGACTTTTATCCTTGCCTTCTTTCCCTGCCAAACATTTCAAAACCATTTTATTTAAGTCTGCAAAAAATTCCTTACCCAGCTTTACAGGAATCGTCTGAAAAAGATACAAGATTCTAGTAAAATATTCATCTTAATAGTTGCAATTCTACCAATCAAAGATAGCTGCAAGTTTCCCGATTTCACCAGATCCTGTCCTATCTGTTGCTTGAGCTTATTATAATTATTTTCTTTAAGAGAACTACATCTTGCTGTTAACTGAATCCCCAAGTATTTTACCTTATTTGTGACCTGCATCTTAGAGATCGCCCTCAGTTCTTTTTTTTTTAAACATATTTTTGGTCATTATCTTCGTCTTCTCTTTATTAATTTTCAAACCAGCAACCTCCCCAAATTCACCTATTTTTTCTATCAATTTATTTATTGATGTTAATGGTTCTTCAATAATAAAAACCAGGTCATCAGCAAAAGCTTGTAATTTATATTCTTCCTTTCTAATTTTCATTCCTTTTATCTCTTTTTCTTCTCTAACATTTCTATTCAGCACTTCCAACGTCAATATAAATAGCAATGGGGATAAGGGACATCTTTGTCGAGTACCTTTTTCTATTTCAATAGCATCAGTCAATTCTCCATTAATCATTACCTTTGCCGTCTGCTTCGTATATATAACTTCAATTCCCTGAATAAATTTCTTTCCAAAGCCCATCTCTTCCATTTGTAACATCATAAATTGCCAATTCACATTGTCAAATGCTTTTTGTGCGTCTAAAAATACCAAGGCCATTTGTTTTTCAGGGTGCACTTCATAATATTCTAGTGTATTCAAAATTATTCTTATATTGTCTCTAATTTGTCTTTTTGGAAGAAATCCATTTTGATCTGGATGTATAAAGTTATTCAAGTATCTTTTAAGTCTTTCTGCCAGTATTGAAGCAAAGATTTTATAGTCCGAATTTAGCAGGGATATAGGCCTATAGTTTTTAACTTGCTGTGGGTCTGTGTCTTCTTTATGAATCAGTGTGATATAAGCCTCAATCCATGATTGGGGTATTGTTTTATTTATCATTACTTCATTCATAACGTCCAAAAGTGGGAGGCATAAGGATTCTTGTAATGTCTTATAATATTCAACAGGCAAACCATCTGGTCCTGGTGTCTTTCCATTTTTTTGTTTCTTAATTGCTTCTGTTAGTTCCATCATTGTTATATGCCCATTTAGCATTTCTTCAGTGTCCTTGGGGATCAAAGGTAGTTTTGCGTTCTGTAGGTATTTTTTAACTTTCCCCTCTTCAACCTGCTCTCTTTTATAAAGTTGCCTATAATATTCTTGTATTATTTTTCCCATCTCTTTGTTTCCAAATTTACTTTGTCCTTGGTCGTCAATCAGTTGCATTTTTTTTTATTCCCTTTCTTTTTTCAATTTATATGCTAGCCACCTTCCTGGTTTATTTGCATTTTCAAAATAATTCTGTTTAGCACTTCTTATTTTTTGGGCTAGCTCTTCTTTCTCCAGGAAACCCATTTTATGTTTTAGCATATCCATTTTTATTTTTACATCTTTCTTATGTGGATCTTTCTGGAGTTTCTTTTCAAATCTCTTATATTCATTCTTTAATATTGTAAAAGTTTGTCTTTTTTTCACATTCCTTTTCTTTATATAATCTATTATTATACCTCTAGCGTAGGCCTTCATTGTATCCCAACGGTTTTGTATCAATGTATCTTTCTTTTTATTCTCCTTAAAGAAAAACTCCAGCTCTCTTTGCATTTTCTGTACAAATTCTTTTTCTTTTAAAATTGTATTATTCAAAGTCCATCTAGCTTTCCTTTTTTGACCTTTCCAAGCTACTATCACTGGATTATGGTCAGCCCATAAATTAATGTCTATTTCCACCTGTTCAGTTTTCGGAATCAAGTCCATTGTTGTCCATATCATATTTAACCTGGATCAAGATGAGTGCCTGTTTGAGTAGAAAGTGTATTGTCTATTCTTCCCATTTCTAACTCTCCATATATCTTTCAAATTTATTTCCTCTGTCATTTTAAAGAAAGAATTTGGCAGTGTTTTTCTATTATGCTTATGCTTATTATTTAGCAGGCTTTTAAATATGAGTTATTTACTTAAGGCCTATTTTTCTGCTTGTTATAATTGAATACCACTTTTAAAAGGAATCCATGGCAAGGAGGTTTTGAGCATTTTGCATACTCAGTAATTGTGATACTGACAATATTTGATAATGTGACAGTATTTGTGATATTTATGAATTGGTATTCTGTTACAACACAATTCCTGATGTCTCCTGTCCTCAATTGTACCCATCTTCTATAGTCTTTTCCAGCAATTTGCAAATTGCCTAACCTTTTTAGTAGAATTTTAACCAATGTAAGGTTAAAAAATGTTTCCCTTCTCAGTCTTGGCAACCAGCAAGACTGCCTTTAAATGGTTTCATCCATTTTGCAGAATTATTACTAATGTTATTATCGCTAGATTTTTTTCCTGCCTTTTTTATATATAATTCAACGTGGCAAATGTAGATAATACAAGTACTCCTCAATTTATGGCCTTAGATTAGTGACCATTCAAACTTACAAGAGACCCTAAAAATGGAAACTGGTTTTGAAATTCTGACATGCCCCCTGCAGTCACATGACCATATTTTGGGCACTTGGCAGCTGGCCTGCATTTACAACTATTGGCAGCGTTCCATGGTTGCATGACTGCAATTTATGTTTTCCCCACAAGCCTGCATTACATCAAGTTTCCAACAAAAAACTATAATGAAGAATGGGTTTGCTTAATGACTCCCACATTCACTTAATGGCTGCCTCAAAAAAGATCATAAAATTGGGTGCAGCCATGACTTACAACTGAAGTTATGGGTTCAATTATGGTCATAAATCAAGGATTACCTATACAGTATACCTGCCACCTATTTTCCCCAAGAACCCTGTGAGGTGGCTTGGGCTGACGAGTGTGACCAACCCAAAGTCACCCAGTTGCTTTCAATGCCTAAGGGAAGTTTAGGACCCACAATCTCCTGGTTTCTAGTCCAGCACCTTCAACACTACCTACACCAATCTGGCATGGTGCAAAACCTCTGCCTGGTGAAGTGAATCCCACAATTCTTTGCATCTCTTTAGACCTCAGCAAGAAGAAAGCAAAGTCCTATTCCATTTGAGGGAAGAGGGTGAACAAATAAACATCTTATTTAGGCAGTATCACTCTCTTTGAAGAAGTACTTGATGAGTTCAGTCCCACAGGACATATCAAAATACTAGAAATAGAATTTTTCCTGATTGCTACCCTGCTCTGAATGTAACTCAAATATTTTAAAAGTCATTGTATTTTTAAGTATTTTAAAAAGCCTAAAGAGTTTGGGATCAGAACTCTATGTTACCCAAGTGAAGAGAAGGAGGAGGAGGAGGGATCCAGGAAAGAATATTTTTCATTTTGATGTAGCAGTTGTGGAATAAAATGTTCCGAAAGGCCATCTGGCCCTACTGGAACAAACCTTTTATCATTGTGTAACAGAGTACAGATTTGTTGAGCAACCAATTAAATAAACAACTGTTAATATCCTAGCTGTTTTCTCTGCGATATGTAGTTTTATTCATTGTATTTTTTTTTTTAAAAAAAGATTTGTTCACCACTTTGAGAGAGTATTCTTTTGTTTGAATGTCTGTGGAGATTCTCAGTCATCCAGCTCATGGTTGCCCCAAAGGTGCTTTTTCAAAAGGCAATTGGACTTTCTTTGTTTTTCCTTGAAGACGTTTTGTCTCTCATCCAAGGAGCTTCTTCAGTTCTGTTCTTTTGTTTGGAGATTTTTAAATCTACCTGATTGGTTTGCAACCTAAAAAAAGAAGAGCATAAAAGGAGGGGGTGAAACAAGGGAAGGAGACCACAAACATCCAGTTCTGGCCGGGAGGAAGGGATTCTTCTGATGTCTGCTGACATAGAAATCGGAAAAGCGCTGGGAACCAAGCCAGATTTTTCAGCAGTGCCTGGGAATGCCTCAGCTTTCCTTTCCTGCAGCTTGGCAGAACAAAAGCTACCAAATAAGGAATGCACTGAGCTGAACATTTCAAACACAGAAAACAGGAGACTGGACCA